CGTTCATCGACTGAATAAGCTATATTTTCCATACCAGTACGAAATTCTTCTTCATTCATCATATCAAAATTAGCTGATGATTCAAGTGAAAGTTTATACTGCATCTATAAATATCATATACAAAATATCAATCGAAATTTATTTCTATGTAAATAATATTTACTTCTTGATATACTGGTTCACTTCCTTTAAGTAATAATGATATGATATATTCAATAGCAAGAAATCGACTTATTCGATTTTCTGTATATGATACAAAATCAATAATAACTGTATCTAATCCATCGTCCTAATTAAATTTAATGTATAGCAAAATAATTAATAGTAAAGAAACTTACATCAAGAAATGGATAAATATTCTTAAAAAATATCCGTATATCATCCGTTTCATACCATACAATTTTATCAAGAATATCACCAAGAAGACTAATATAATAAATACAAGTTACATCCATATTTCCAATTAAAATATGCATAAATAATTCAAAAATCTAAAAACAAAATATTCATAGATCAAATTTTAATTTAAGAGAAAATACAACAAACTTTATAATCCGATTTGTATGCAACTATTGAAGTAAAAAAATCATGTATAGCATTATAAGGTATTTTATCAATATCTGCATATCGATTATTAAAGGCAACATAAACATCATCCTAAATAAAAAAAAAGTCATTTAAAGAAAAAGAAGAAAGCTTTTATTTACCAATATATTTCCTGTTACATTTGCTAGACGTTCATCAGCATTACATTCATAAACAAGAATTTCTGTAATCATGCTAAAAAGTCGTTCCTATTTATAGCAAATTAAATTTTAATTAAAGTTTAATTTCTAACTTACTACTGAAAATGGTCGTGGTACAAGACGTTCAATATTTGTACGTTTTTTATAATCTTCCCAAACTCGATCAAATGTATGAATCTTAAATGAGAATAAAATAAATGAAATTAAAATAGAAATTAACATACAAGAAGACCAGCATTTGAGACATTTTCTTGTTTTCGAGATGTTTTATCAACAATAAAATTTCCTGGATAATTAGTACGCATAACACTTGCATTATTTTGCTGATATATAGGTGGAAGCATTTGATTTATTAATTTTTTATTATCATTCATTACTTTTCTATATGGAAAATAAATCTATTAGCTGTTATTTTGAAAATATATCTCTACCGAATAAGTGATTCATTGTATTTGAGTATCGGACGAGAAATGAGAATATATTTTGTACCATCGGGTACTCGAACAATCGTTTGATCTTCGGGAAATTTATGAGGACATAAATAAGTCTAGAAAGAAAATAATACCATGATTAGAAGAAAAAATAATTTGTAATAAATACATAATCAGCACAACTATCACAGTAGGATACGGATTCAAAATCTGTCCATGCTTGTCCATTACTAGATGATGCAAGTTTACAAGAAAAACGAGAAAGAATACGTTCTTGTGGTGCATATTCAATAAGATCGGTTCTACGATTAGCTGTTTCAAATGCACGTTCAAGACCAAATAAAGGATTCGATGGTTTTCCTATAAAATTTTTCAAAATAAATCAAATTTCTATATTAAACATTTTTATTTATAAACCTGTCTTTTGTGCTGCTTCATTAGCTACAAATGCTACTGTTGCTTTACGATTTCTGAAAATATTCAATATATACGAGAAAATGCTTTGTTTCATTAAATTTACCTAAGTTCTTCATTATTTTTTAAAACAACTATTTCTAATTTATCTTCTAAACTACGTCGATGTCGTTGCATTATATCAATTTCTTCTCGAATTTCTTTTATTGCTGATACATATCGTTGTTGCTCCGAATTAATCTAAATAGATAATATTTAAAAGAATGGTATTTTTTTCTCTTCGGAATATTTACATTATCCTTAACAAATTGAGCTTCAGATAAATCTTCTTCCATTTTAAGTAATTTATTATGTTCATCATCTAATATTTGATCATATTCTAATTAGAAAAAAAATCAAGAATTTATATTTTAATATGAAATAAAACAAAAATTATTCTAACCTTCAGTTGTCATATTAAGTAATGTTAACATTTGTTCTTCTAATCGTATAGCTACTTGAATATCAAGCATTAATTGATTCTAATAAATAGTATAATTTAATGTGTTCTATTTTAGGAATTTCATTTATAAATACTTTAACTTGAACAAATGGTTCATCTTGATTCTCTACTTGATTACCATCTTTTTTTCCAGAAGGTCTATGACTTGAACTATCCATAAAAGCTAGAAAAGAAATAGAACATCGTTTTTTTCTTGTTATCAGTCATAGTTTATTAGAAACTTTGCTTACCCTCTTCCATTTGATCAAAACCTTGTTTATATTTTGATAATTCATCGATCAATGCTTCTGTTGTTGCTTGATTTTCCTATAATATTTATACGAATGACATGTTTATCTCTTTTTAACTAGGACAAAAATATCTACTAACAATGATTTCTTTCACTTTCAATTGTGTATTATAAATTTCTTGTTCACAATTAAAACGTGTTCGTTCACATTCTTCTTTTAATCTAAATAATTCAAAAGAAAAATCAATAAATCCTATTCTTTCTATTTATAATCTTTTCATACGTTTCAATAAGTTTATCTTTTTCATTTAATGTTGTTCTCATTGCTGATAATTCATTCATTAATTTTTGTTTTGCATTTTCGATTTGTTGAATTTTTTCAAAGGATTGATTTAAATCACGATTTTTTTCAGCCAAACTATATCAAATAAATTTATGTATATATATACAGAATTCTGTAATATTTACTTTGTTTCTACATCGGACATTTTATTTTCAAAAACAGATAATTGATATTGTTGTTCATCGATAAGTCGTTCACAAAGAACTTTATAAGATAATCGTTCAATACAAGCTATACGTTTACGTTTTCTCGATGCTTTATTCTGAATTTGTTCAACAGTAAATTGATTACTATATACGCAATCTATTGAATAAATTTATTCGATTAAATGAGAAAGAAAGATTTTTATCAAATCTACCGAAGAATTCATTACGAAGATTTGCCACAAGTGGAGAAAAAACGCCTAATTGAGGAATAATTTGATCAAAAGCATTGAATGCAAGAACCATACGTTCATCATCGTGTCCACTTTGATCAATTTCTTTTATCGCAATATCAAGAGCAAGTGCTAAAAATTAAAAGAAAATATTTAATCTTCTATAGATATGATCATATTAAATTATACTAGGTGATATCTGATCGGTAAGATCTGTGCTGGAATTTCTGGTAGTCATTGTTCTTAAAGAGAATTATTTGTATTAAGGATACAAGAATAGACAAGTGTCGCCATTTCAAGTAACATTACCATAGGTTAACCTCTATACAGAACATAATGTCACTTGCGAATACGAAAAATAAAATAAATAATTTTCTTCTAATGCTTAACTGATTTTGTTTTTTTTATTAAAAACATAACTTTTGTTTTCACTTATTGTTATTGATCTAGTATTAATTCATTGAAGGGAGTGGCCATGATCGTCAACTTTCTCTTGTGTTATTTCATTTTATTTATTTTTTTACTTTAGTATATCGAAAATTTCGTTTTTTAGATAAAAAAAATGACTACTCAAATTGCCCGTCGTTTAGTTATTTTGGGTGCACCAGGTTCTGGTAAAGGAACAATTGCTAGCCGAATTATAAAGACCTATGGTATGCCATATATTGTTGTCGGAGATTTACTTCGTTCACATATCCAAAGAAAGACCGGTAAGCCTGTTTCTTTTTCATATTATCTCTCTATAACTAATGTTTTTTTCGTTTATGTAAAGAGGAAAGTAAAACAATCAAAGAACATATTGATAAAGGTCTTCTTTTACCAGATGAACTTGTATTAAAATTTGTTGCTGGTGAACTTAAAAAAATTCGTGATAAAGGATTTTTACTTGATGGTAATACAGATTAAATGATATTTGTATTGTAATTAATTTCTATTTTATAGGTTATCCACGAACATTAAATCAAGCAAAATTATTAGATAAAGAAATGCAAATTGATCATGTTGTTGCACTTAATGTACCAAATGATGAAATCGTTAATCGTTTAAAAGATAGATGGATTCATGCACCTAGTGGACGTATCTATAATCTTCTATGGAATCCACCAAAAGTTGCTGTAAATTTAGGGAAAAAAAATAATTACCATTCATTTTTCTATTAGATCTTTTCTTTTTT